AGGAAGCCGTTAGGTTGCCGCAAGGAAAGGCGGCAGCTAATTGGACGTTCACACGTTTCTCGCATGCACGCTGATTGGCCAACACTGGGATGCATTGGAGTGAGTTTGTTTGACTGAATCAAAGGAAAAATGTCATGCATTCACAAAGGTCGTTAATTATGGATCCAACTAGCTGTATATACCGATATGTTTCACTCGCCCTCTGCCTGCGTTTTCGCCTGGTCCCTTTGTGTGCAGAACATACGTTTTGTCCCTGAAGGACCGACTTTTCACAGTGTCACCAGCTGCGGAGCTTCCTCCAGTCCCGACAGAGGTCGCTCATCATATAGTCCCGCGTGTTGAACCAGTTAGTGCACGGTCAAGACTGCTTGCTTCTGACAGGTTACGTGCTGCGCGAGCTGAATTTGACCGTACACTTCAGTTAGGTGTCGTCAAACCGTCCAATCGCCCATGGGCGTCACCTCGGCACATGGTCCCGAAGAAGGTCATGGGGACTGTCATCCTTGCGACAACTATTGAACCTTGAATACCGTTGCCACGCCTGATCGCTACCCGATCCCACTCATTGTGGATCCCATCGCCAGTCTGGCGGGAAAAAATATCCAGCAAAACCGGTAGCCGAAGCGGCCATCGCTAAAACTGCGGTGACGACTTCATTTGGTTTGTTTGAGTTTCTGCGCATGCCATTTGGTCTAAATAATGGCGCGCAAACTTTTCAGCGCTTCATCGACCAAGTTTGTCGCGGCTTAGACTTCGCTTACGCTTATCTCGACGACATTTTAATCGCGAGCTCTTCACGAGAAGAACACATGCGCCACGTACGAACACTTTTTGATTGTTTATCTCAACACGGGGTGACGATCAAGGTAGAAATGTGTTCGTTTGGTGTCAAATCAGTAAACTTCCCTCATTCTTTCAAACAGCTCAGGCGTTTTGATGGGCTTGTCAACTTTTACCGACGGTTCATTACCGACTGCGCCTCGCTGGTGCAACCCCTCACAGACCTTCCCCGAGGGAAACTCAAGAAATTCGAATTTTCTGCCGCTGCACGCGCTGCTTTTAAGTCGCTGAAAGAGGCTATCGCCAACATAGCTTCTATAGCGCATCACGATCCGGCCTCCCCACTGTCCCTCAGTACTGACATCTCGGACGTGGCAGTCGGCGCTTTTTTGCAGCAACAAATAGCCGACACGTGGCAGCCCTTAGCGTTTTTCCCCACACGCCTACAACCTACCGAATCTCGCTACAGCACATTCGGTAGAGAACTACTAGCCATATATCTAGCGATACGTCACTTTCGACACGTCCTAGAAGGCCGCTCCTTTGCCGTCTTCACCGACCGCAAACCCCTGACTTACGTGCTCGGCTCGACTATCGACCGATACTCTCCTAGAGAGTCGCGCCACCTTGCCTATATCGCTCAGTTTACGACTGATATATGGCATGTCTCAGGTGTGCGTAACGCCGTCGCTGATGCACTTTCCCGCATCCAAGCTATCTGCGCTGACGCCGGCACTGCTATGGACTTGGCAGCCATGGCCACAGCGCAACTCAACGATCCTGAGGTTGATCTACTACGCAGGTCTCCCTCACTGGACATGCGATCCGTTTTTCTGACATCATCAGACGGAGCTATACTTTGCCATTTATCTTTGGGCACGCCGCACGCAGTCGTCCCACGCGAGTTTCGGCAGACCATGTTGGACACGTTGCACGGCTTGTCTCATCCAGGCGTTTGTGCATCGTTTAAACTCGTAACCGCACGTTTCGTTTGGCGTAATGTCAATCGGGACGTACGTACTTGGGCGGCTGCTTGCTTTCCGTATTAATGCGCGGAGGTGCATAAGCACACGAGAAGCCCATTAGGTACGTTTCCGACGCCAGACGTACGTTTTCATCACGTGCACGTCGACGTCGTA